CACAGACTCTCTACTAGGCATGGTTGAATCCAGCCTCTGTAGCGGTCCAATTTATTTTAACTGTTTTCTTAATTTTTCTGTTTCTTTAGACGATCCCAATATCTTAGATATATTGACAATAAATCTTAAAACACATGGATTCAATATGGTCCATGGATCACAAAATCTTGCTATAGTCTATAGAATATATTATAAAGTCATGAACACATTGAGTCCCAATACCTTAAAACTCGATCAAAAAGATCAAACAATTTTGTTCCAAACAAATATAGAAAAATCTAACATAATAGTTCCAAAAACTATAAAATGGTCAGATGTAATTCTACCTCAATCATGGGCATTACAAAATGCCAATCAACCACAAGAAATTCCTCAACATCATATTCCCCTTCATATGGAACTAAAGAGTGCATGGGTTGTTTTCCCCGGCGAGTATTGCCTCGGGAGCCCATATTTAAGGATGAAAGATCCTTATCAGAAAGATTATCTTGGAATAATTGAAGTGCAAGTGAAAGTGGTGATTCGTCGTTGGCGTCAGTGTTGCCTCCCCTGCAAAAATTCACGGGTCAGAAAATCGGGTAAAGAATTAGAAGACCCAGGAAGATGTTCAATTGAGAAATCAAAGGCAGAGAGAATAGCCTGTCATCGGGCAAATATTTGTTTAGAAATCAAATTTTTAACATCTTTTTGCAGAATATCTTTGGCTGCTTTGCAGTCTGTTCGTATGAGAAATGGTTGGTTTAAAACATCACTTTGAAACTTTGTGACACAATGAACAATGGCTAATAATTCTTTTTTAACCATTGAGTAATTCAATTGGGTTGAATTCCAAGCCTTTGAAGTATAACGTAATAATTGTTCTTTGGAATCTATTTGTTGTTTTAAGATGCCACCAAGTCCTTTATCAGAGGCATCACATTCAATGATTTTAAAAGCAGTAGGATGTGGAAGAGAAAGGCATTCAAGGGTTTTGACCTTACTCTTTATTACCTGTATTGCTCGTGTATGAATATCAGACCAAGGAGGAGGATTCTTCTTGAGTCTATCATATAAGGGTTTAGAATCCAATGCAAGGTTAGGGTAAAAATCGCTAAAGCCACTGAATGTCCAGATTGTCATTATCCGCAACCTACGGATGGCAAATCTCATAAGAAATCTTACTGGTAAAACTGTACCTTCATCTTCCAAACTTAGAGTTAAAAAATAAAGAACAGATAATCATAAATGATATTGAGGAAAATATACAAAATTGGAATATCCCCAAGGTACCAATACATGATGTTTATAATAAAGGATCATTTAAACTTAAGATGGGTTATGCCATCAAGACTGTAGAAGAAACTCTATCAGTCACACAAAATCAAGAAGAAGCATTTATTATCAGAGCCATACAGTGATACACTGTCTGACAAATTACAACTTGAAGAAGATGATCCTACTCAATATTCAGAAGAATATATAGCAGCCTATCTAGCAGCTAAGCTAGAAAGGAAACAAAGAAAAATAAATAAAGCTTTTATTAAAAAAGATTATTTATCAGAAGAAAATAAAAATATCCTAGAATGGTTTTTAAAAAGGTTTCAGCCACCTAGACTAATGGAATTACTACATAAAAAATATAATAAGTTCCTGCACAAAGAAAGATTAAATATAGGATTTTTTCACTGGCTAAAAAATCTATGTTTAGAGAAAAATATTACTATTCCTTCGTTTGATAAAATTCAAAAAATTCAAACAATAGAAGAAAAGACATATATAAGTACTGATGGTACTACAACTGCTAGTATACATCCACCGGAGAAAAGTATTATACTTAAAGCAGGCATTCCAAAGAAAAATGAGCCTGTACACTCCTCATCCTTCTATGATATAGTGGCTACACCATATAAAGTCATACCCAAGGAAATAAATAAAAAACAAGAATATATACCTCATATTGTAGAATAAAATAATTATACCAACCTATATCTACAATCGCTTGGAAAGCAAACTGAACTAATAGAGAGAATAGTATCCAAGGAAATACCAACTATATCTCCCATTCCTAAGTCAGTATTATTCAAACCACCTCCTGAGTTAAATAAGAATAAATTTTACATTGGAGAAAATAATAAATCCCTTATGGATCAATTAATCTCCAAACAATCCCAATTAG